GGCGGGAGCCAGCCGGCCTGGCCAGGTGAGACACGGTGCTTTTTCGCAGCCTGGGGCAGAGCAGGGCGCTCTCGCTGTTCCTCTCTCCTTCTCCTTGCCTTTCCCCCCGTTTGTGTGTCCTGTTCCCTCCTTGGTTTTTTTGTTCTTTGTCCCTCTGTCCTGCTCCCTGTCACTGATTGTTCTCGCCCTGTGTCTGTCCTGCAGCCCAGTGCTATTTTTTTTCTCCATCTGACTCTCCAGTGCCCGTGCCAGGCTTTTTCCCTTCCGCCTCTGTTTTGGTCCCTGTCCCTTGTTTTCTTCTTTCACTTTGCTGTGCCTCCCTTTCCCTTTTTTTGGCTGCCTTTGTATCGCCTCATCTTGCTCTGTCCTTGCTTTTCTCTGACAATCTGTGTCCTGCTCCTCATCCTGCTTTTTCCCCTCGCTGCTATCCCCCGTGCTTCTTCTAGTCTTTGTTTTTTCGCTTTCTCTCCTCCTGCCCCCATGCTGCTTTCTCCACCTCTGTCCTTGTCATGCAGGTGAGCAATTTAACTTGCTTAAAAAATCGCCCTCGAAGATGTTAAGGAACGTGATTTTAATATGAATTTGTAAAAGTGCAACTTAACTGAGATCGATGGCAAAGCTCACTCTATTACTTATAACGTAGGAGGAGTATACGACAGGGACATCGTCGAGTCAGAATTAAGCTTAAAATGATTTACACGGGGATCGGGAGATACGACTTATACGGAGATTCCGGGCAATCGATCCAGAATTGGGTCCGAACGATTCGCGGGAGAATCAGGGACACAGGATGAGGGAGGCCTCCCATTGAGTCACGAGGTTCAGAACGGACCCCCGTGCTTTCTGAAGTCCTTCGAGAGTCTCGGTGCAGCTGAATCCACTCCTAGTCCCAGACTTATGATTATAAATGAACAGTGTTCCGGGGTAGCGGTGTTGTGGAATGTGGCAATTGGCTGTCGATGCACGATGCAGGGACGACAGTTGTGGCCATGGCAGTGGAAAGGTGTGGGGAGTCTGAGAGTCTGACTAGAGACCCAGCAGGGAGGAGGACGGGCTTGTGAAGCCGATGGGCCTCACAGTACGTAACTGTGGTGGGACGGTAAAGTTTTTTTGGATGGGTGTTTTAGTTCCCTGCTGTAATGCTTTTTTCAATTTTTCTTTTTTTTTTTTCTTTTTTTGTGTGCAGGTGTGAAAGTCAAGGGTGCGTAGAGAGGAGCAGAGCTCCCTTGTTTTCTGCCTGGGCATTGAAACTCTAGAGAGGACGATGTTGCCCTGAAGAAGAAACCGTTGAGAAGGTACTGAGATCCAGGGGCCGCCCGAGCGAGAAACGTGGAAAAGAGCAGCTCCTCGGTGGAGAATCAGCGGCACTAAGTCATTGCAACTAGTCCTGGGGTAAGGTTGATTTCTTTGAAGTCGTAAGGTTTTTTTCTTCCAATGGTGATTAAAAGCTAGAGGGGAAACAAAAAAGGAAAGAGAGCGATAGTAGCAATGAAAGGAAAGAAACCCCTCAATGCGTAGTTCTTCTTTGTTGTCGTAGTACAAGCCCGTTGTGGAACGGGAGCAATGACAGCCGAGAAGTAACTGGGAGTCAGTCATGGACCAAGAGACACAGTAGAATTTGGAAGGAAAAAGAGAAAAGAGCCGCTCCTGTATCTCCGGGAGAATGACGGTAATAACTGAAATCGCCCGGGAGACTGCGCAGGGG